GTGCTGGCATCCACCATCATGTTCTCCAGACATTCTCTGACCACTATGAGCTGACAGGGTGTTAGATCTCTTGGTAGCTAGCATTTTGTGTCTACACTAAGGCTCCTACCATTGCAATCACTCCTGGAGCTGAACCAAAATGGCTAGAGTAGTTGCAGCCTTAGCTTTGGAATGGCTGAGTCTAATGTGTGCATTAAAAGTGATGTAACCCTTTCTTGGCAGGTAAAGCTCCAGACCTGACAGCTCAGAAACTTCTTTGACGTCTCAGAGTTCTGTGTCCATAGCTTCTAGAAAGCACGTGATCAAGACACTTCGGGGACCTGCTTCCTACCAGCCCTATGGTAACCAAACCGAAGTCATTTCTGCAGGCTGCTGCCCAGTGCACTCACGGGAAAACAACACCCCCGAACAATGAAAGCGCCTTGTTCAAAGTCAATAGTTACCGCTTGTTCGCTTTGAGACAGTCATTGAAATCATTAGCTCCTGGTGGCTGCAGCTATACAGTGGTTGAATGGTTGCTGTCAGCACATTGCTAACGGGGCATTCCTCAGGACAAAGCCAAGGCAGCTCCTGCTGGCAGGTAGGTTATAAGTGGGAGAGGTATAAACACAAACAGATACAACCCAAGCTGAAGTTAGAGATGTAAAATCCCATTTAATTGGTTAACTGGTTAAATGTTAACTTTAACCAGTTAACCAATTAAATGGGGGGAGAGGGGACAGACAGAGGGCTGCTCCAACCCAGCTGGGCTGAAACGGCCCCCCTGCCACGGACAGGGACTGCTCTGGCTGGGCTGGAATGCCCTGGGGCCATGGCATTCCCTGGGGCCACTGGACAAGGGCTGCTCCAGCTGGGCTGGAACACCCTTGCCCGTACCTGGCCCCACAGGGCTAGAGCTGCCCCCTGCCCATGGCAGGGCCCTACTGATTAACCGTAACTGGTAAATTGGTTGACCATTGAAATCCCTAGTTTATGTACGGATTGCTAGCCAATGTATTAGTCACTCTTTGTCTTTTTACATTTATATAATTACAACTCAGTGACTGAGGGTTGGAATGGGAGGTTGATAGCTCTCTGGCCAAGCATAGGGCAGATGGGCACTGTTCCAGCTGCTCCACATAGTTCTACTAATACATCGCAAGCCTGATCAGCATGCCCTTCCCTTCCCTTGCCATTCCAGTCCTAAGCCCCTGACACAGCTCTGCTGATGTCCCTACATCCTGATCCAGCAAACCAACTTCTGACGCCAGTGCTAGCGCTATTCTGACCAGAGACTGGGAAACACATACTCAGTTGTGCCAAACTAGTTAGTGTGGTTGTGATATGGACATGTACACTAGGAGTAAAAGTCAGACCCCCAAAAATAGATTTAAAGTGTGATATAATCTACAGACAAACCAAGTTCTAAAAATGGAGAGGCAAGTGCATTATCTTACAGCACCCCTTAGCTTCCTTTCTGTCTTCATGCTGGCTACAAATGCCACCATTCCCAACTCAATGTCTGCCTATCAAATTCACAGAGGTTGCAAAAAAGAGGCCTTGTCAATTAAATTCACCCCCCTTCCAAGGCAGGATAATTTTCCCACACCCCAGCAGGAGAGACATCTCAGGTGCTAAACTGATTCAATATTTGATCACAACTAAATAAAAGTCATGATTACTTAACGCCTTCCTTTATCTTAAATGGTGGTTTGTCTACTATTCTAATACTAGACCTTTCCATTGTAGAACTACTGTGACATCATAAATCTGAGACTGAAGCTCAAATTCCCAGAACCCCATGGTAGATTCTCGGGTTAAATATCTATTGTTATTGTAAGACAGAGAGTTTTCAGACACACAGTTGAATTACAGAAAGACGTTGAGCATCTCAGGTATACTACATGGCTACGTCTACACAGGCATGATTTTCCGAAAATGCTTTTAATGGAAAACTTTTCCATTAAAAGCATTTTCGGAAAAGCACGTCTAGATTGGCAGGATGCTTTTCCGCAAAAGCACTTTTTGCGGAAAAGCGTCCGTGGCCAATCTAGACGCGGTTTTGATCGGGGCTTTTTTGCGGAAAACACTACTGTGCTGTCTACACTGGCCCTTTTGCGCAAAAGTCTTTCAGAAAAAGACTTTTGCCCGAACGGGAGCAGCATAGTATTTCCGGAAAAGCACTGACAATCTTACATGAGACAGTGGGCAAGTTTTTCCGCAAAAGCAGATGATTTTGCGGAAAAACTTGCCAGTCTAGACACAGCCCATATGAATAACTAGCACTTGGATGAGAAACTGACTCATCCAAATGGAACTGAGGGACCCTGATTCTGTGGCCCTCTTCTCACAGAGATTTTGTTTTTCTGAGGATTTTTAATAGTGAGATTTACTCCTTTCATCCTATTTGGCCATCCTCTCCGGGCCTCTTCCTGGGAACTACAGTTAGATGCCACTGAGAGAGGCAGAGCAGCAATTGAGGACAAACCAACGGCATTTAGCCATCATGCTGCATCCAGCACTGCATGGAGCCATGCCCTCCCATGGCCAGTTGCAGGCAAAATGCCTCTTGGAAGGCCTGAGTCACGCTGCATAGCAAGCAATTTGCTGTTCTTTCAGAGGTGTCTGTCTCTCCCTTGCAGAACCAAGCATCTCAGGAGGAGGGGGAGGGTGTGGACAGTCATGTGTCAAGCGTTATCTCATGGTAGTCATGCCTAGTGGTCAGAGCATAGATCTACGCCTGACTTAGGGTTGAGACTGGCCCAAAGGCAGCACTGGAATTTGGGGATAGCCTGGGGTCAGAACCAAAATCAGAATCCATAGACACTCCAGAATCAGTGCCAAAGCTGGAGTCCATGTGCAAGCCAGAGGTTGAAGGCAGGCGGTCAGAGTCCAGGGACAAGCCAAGTCAGTGTGGTAAAGGCTATGTTTGAAGCTGGATAGTCAGAGTCCAAGATTTCAGGGAGGATCAGGAAGTGAAGCCAAGGGTAGAGTGCATCGCAAACAGGGTTGGAGCAGAACTTGCCTTAGGCAGCTGTTGTCTAGGAGTTTGCCTAAGCCCAAGATTCATTACAATGAGAAAATACTGTAAGACTTGCCTATTGGTCCTGGCTTTCTTCTGAGTGTCAGCTCAGTTGCCATTAAGATCCACCCATTGTCAGCATCCTCATCACTTCTGTCCTTTCCAATCATGTCATGGTGCAGGGAGGCCTCAGGATATAAGCTCGCTGTAAAGCTCTGCCACCCTAAGCTTTACCTAGTGCACTCAGATACTATAGTGATAGGCACTGTATCAGTGATCAAATAAATAGGAACATATGCTTTAACACCAGGCTCCAATGACAGGCTGAACTTTAACAAGAGAGGAGCTCTGATCCTCAAAGTATTCCATAGTTACTGTTTAAAAGTCTCAGAGGGGTGGCCTTGTTAGCCTGTAACTGAAAAAACTTAAAACACAACGAATGATCCTGCAGCACCTTAGAGACTCACAAAAAATATAGATGGTATCATAAGCTTTTATGGGCACAACCCACTTCTTCAGATGAATGGAGTAAGCGGTCCAGAGGTACAAATAATTTGCAAGAACAAGTGGAGAGATGGAAAGGGAAAGGGAGAGGGGAAAAAACCTTGTCAATTGAAGTGTTCATGCTAAATGAGGCTAACAGAGTAGGCTGTAAGTGTCTGATACATAGCTTTGGATGTCATTCAACACCCTAGTGAAATCAAAAGCTAAGTATCGGGCACTTTACAGCCCACTCTGTTAGCCTCATTTAGCATGGACACTTTAATCGATTCTTTTTTTCTCCCTTTCCCTCTCTGTCTCCCCTCTTTTTCTCCTATTTATTTGTACCTCTGGACCCTTTGCTCCATTCATCTGAAGAAGTGAGTTGTGCCCTCAAAAGCTCATGATACCATCTACATTTTTTGTTAGTCTCTAAGGTGCCACAGAACCATTCATTGTTTTTAAACAAATTTCATAATTATTGTTGTTACCGCTATTCTTCTGGACTTTCACAGTTCCAGTCACAAGCTCTGTGGTACTTTCCCACATGAGCATGAAACATAAGTAAGTCACAAAGAAAGAAATTCATTCCCAAGCCATTATAATCTTAGCAGTATGAGTTTTACGCTTGGTAGTTGCAGTGTTGCTTGTAGTTTTCCTGTTCCTCTGAAGGCCTGATTATGCCTGTATTTTTAAGACTCCTTTCTACAGCTTACTACAGCTTTTAACTCTACGATTCAAAAATCACAAGATGACCCCAAAAATCATGGCAGTAGCTAAATAATCCCATGAAAATTTTTTAAAATAGTAAATATGGTGTTCATTTTGTTTGTCTCTCTCTCTCTCTCTGAGCCTTCGGGGTACAAATTCTTCAGCTTTTCTCTGCAACCACAAGCACAAGCAACTAAGGCAGTTGTAAACAAGCCCTGACTCTGGTTGTAAACAGGCCCATACAGACAACTATTATTCCATTTCAGGCTAGAGAGATTAAGAATTTCATGTCAGGAGGTAAGTGACATACTCAGAGCACAAAAGCAGAGACCAAGTCTAGCAGAGATATTGTAAGCTATTAGGCTGGTGTGCTGAAAATCTACTGCCTGGCCTCCCAAATGCTGCTATCCACTTCCTAGCCCTTTCCACCTTCTGTCGCTGCTGCTCTGCACAACCCATCCAGGGCTACCTGCTGCCCAGTGTCACTAATATCACCGCTCTCTCCTGAAGTGCACAGACACTCATAATAAGGTGGCTGGGGAATGTGTGAGGGGAAAAAAGAAAACAGAAAAATAATTCTTACTTCTCTCTGACAGTTCTCCAGCTGCTGTTGCTACTGCTGCCTTCACTCCCGTTTTCCCCCACTGATATTTCCAAAGTTAAATATTCCTGAATAATCTCAAGAACAGCTCATCGAAGTGCAAAAAATATGACGTGTCTAGATGACAAACAGGCTTTTTGTATATCACAAGTGCACATCTGCATGTGCACACACTCCTCCCCTCTCTCCCAAGTTACCAGCACTGACCTTGGAGGAGGGAAGAGCTGTAGTTCTTCATATTACAGAGATAACATATTTGCCACCATTCAAACTGTCGAAAGCCTGCCCAGGTTTTGTTTTATGGCCTTTCCAGGTGTCACCAAACCCCAGTTGAGTTAGGTCTCTCTCCCTCTCCTGCTTCTGCTTTATAACAGGTGACTTTGTTTTACTTCTTTATGCCATGCTGGGACAGTTTAGTTGAAGAGATCCAAATCTGTCAGCTTGGAAAATGGTGATGTTGATACCAGGCATTGGTTTAAGAAACCTGTAGTCTTCACAACAAAACAACCACATGAATAAATACATAGACCGTACATAGCAATTGTCGCAAAGGTAAATGCATAGTGAGCAATAAGCATGGGAAATGTGATGATGATCTTTAGCATCTTATGAGAAGTTGTAGAGAAATCATCTTTTGTGAAATAAAAAGAAATATTTATGTAATTTGTGCCATTACCATGTGTGGGTCTTCTCTGTTTAGTGATCAGAGACAGTCTGAAAAATATCCTAGTCAAAAGTAAGTTATAGAGAGTTCACTGAGATAATTAGGCCTCAATACACTCAAGGACTTAAACCCATGATTAACTCTAGCTACATATATTAATCTAGTTGACTTCAATGAGATTTCAACACAAACTTAAAGTTAAGCATATGCTTAAATGCTTTGCTGAATGAATCGGGGCCATAGTTCTTAAGGCTCTTTACTAACACATATTAACAGTTATATATAACACTATAGAGATGGCTGTTGAAAAAGCTAAAAGAATGTTTGTAACCATTAGAAAGGGATAGGTAATAAGACAGAAAACATTAGAATGCCATTATATGAAACCATGGTGTACCCACATCTGGAATTCAGCATGCAGTTCTGGTGGCACCATCGCCAAAAAGATACATTAGAATTGGGAAGAGTACAGAAAAATACACAAAAATGATTGGAATATGGAAGAGCTTCCACATAAGGAGATATTAAAATGATTATATTAAAATATTCAGCTTGGAAAAGGGATGGGAAATTTGACAGAGGTCTGTAAAATGATGTGGAGATAGTGGATAAAGAAGTGTTAGTTACCCTTTCACATAGCACACAAACCAAGGATCACCCAATAAAATTGATAGGAAGCCAGTTTAAAACAAACATAAGGAAGTACTTCTTCACACAATGCTGTCAACCCATGGAACTCCTTGCCAGGGGATCTTGTGAAGACCAAAAGTATAAGTAAGTTTGAAAAGTAATCAGATAAGCTTATGGAGGATAGTTCCTTCCATGGTCAGGATTTCAGCCCCACGCTCAGAGTATCCCTAAACCTCTGACTGCCAAACATTGGGACTGGACAACAGGGGATGCATGATATTTCAATAAAATCTCCCGTTCTGTTCATATCCTCTGAAGTATCTGGTATCAGTTACTGTTGGAAGACAAGATACTGGTGAGACCAACCTTTGGTCTGATCCGCATGGCCATTCCTACATACTTAAAGTCTCCACTCTTGTGAAATTGTGCATGTCTATTACTCTGATTATGAAGGGCAGCAGTAGCAGTTTATCCCCTAAGAAGGCTGGTCTAATCTCTTCCTAGTTTAGCTAATAATTAAGCCCAGCTTTTGCTTTTCCACAACAGAATGAGTGAAGTACTAGCCAGATCTGTTGCTCATGGCCTAACTAGAATCCACAGTTACCATGAAATGGATCAACCAAAAAGAAGTGACAGGACACATCCACATTTTATGCAAGATAAAGAAGAATCTTTATTTTACATTGGTCAGATCCACTAGCTAGTGCAATAAATAAAATCATTATCAGTAATAATATAATACAGTGCCAGGCTAGCCTGACTGAACCTGAGTGTAAGTCATTTTAAAAGGTGAAATAATCCTAGCCACCAGAAGTGGGCCTTACCTTTACAATCCATGAGCTGGTCTTTTGGCTTTTTGAAAAAGCAGGAACATTGGCAAATGATGCTGTAGCAGAAAAGAGCAGCTTTCTAGCCTGGCTGGCTAAGAAATGGGCTCTCCTTCTCATGCTTAACTTGAGTTCTTTTGCACCAAGAGCTTTTGCTTAGGAAAGTCAATTGCTTCTCCAATGCTGGCCAGAAGGTGGTGCCCTCCGCCTGCAAATCACACAGCCCAATTAGATGTTCAATATCACTAGAAATCATTGCTGTTGATAGAGATAAATGGGTAATACACTATCTATGTAACAATAGTTTTAAAAAAAGAAAGAAAAAAGAACTTTTCATCAGCGGCTAATCATGTTTTTTATTGCTTTGCTTTGCATTTTCTGGGGAATAAAATCTCAGAGGAGCCCACTCTTTTGTGGAAAATGAAAGGGCATATAAAAAATGAATGTACATGGATTCTAAATATTTCAGGTTGTATGACTTTGTGTTTGACCTTAGCAGAAGATGAACTAATCCTGCAATATAATAGACTTTCATAGAGATATGGAAAATGGCTGCTTTTTTATCTCGGTTGCCATGGGAACCATCAGAGAGAAGGCCTAGCTGAGATGCAATAGAAGGTTATTAAATGTGTGCTTGTGTATATTGGAAAAATACAGCTTTTTGTCATCCTGTGTCACTCATAGGTCTTTAATACGTAATGTTTAGGTTATTAATAAACTAACACCGGTCCATTTTTTGTAGGGAACAACAGTGAATGTAGCTGTAAAAAAATTAGTACAAGTTGGATGTTTGCAAAAACTCTTTAATAGGGGCAGAAGCGGTTGGGCTGGTTTTTCTGAGCCATTGCTATTTCCCGCCAAGTTTGCACTCAAGTTTTCCTTCCTCCTTTGAGCAAAAGCAAAGGAATACAGGAATGGAGTCCACCTATTCAACATGAAAATATTGCACACCTCTCCCCTTTTTCTTTAATTGGCATGGAACCCAAGTGGGAGTAGGAGCTGATGTGTGTCTGTCCTAACTCACTTCAGCACAGAGCTGCCCAGGCGAATCTTACTGTACCTTAGCCATGTCTCTGTGCTGAGTTAAGACTTCAGCTTTAGAAATACTTAGCAGCCAGAACTGCAGAAATGTTACAGTTCTACAGGCAGCAAATCAAAGTAATAATCAGCAAACAAGATAGGAAGTATTGATGGCTGAGAGAGCAGCAAGGGAGGGAGAATGTTTCTCTCCTGGGGGAGGGATGGTTTCCTTCCAGACAAGCAAACTCTTCCTGCTCTGCACCGGCTTTAAGACCAGGGGGCTGGGGGGCCCTTCCATGGGCACCTGGCTAGGGAATCAAGTCTCAGGGCACACATTTTCCTTAGGCAAATGTTTGCAAAAGCTCCAGCTGAGCGTGCCCATGTCTGGGGCTAGAGGAAAGAGAAGTTACAAAGGTTCTGTACCCGGGGTAAGACCCATCTCCTGGACTGTAGTAAGACCCCTGCTCCAGGCGCCCCTCGGGAGCCAGCTATCTGAAGGCCATGTGTGACACCCCCCCCTCCCCGGCGGGGAAGGCCGGCACATTGGAACCAGGCCCCCAATGAGCCCCGGCGCCCGCCTGGCCTCCAGCGCCGATTGCGACGCCAAGGGGAAAACATACCCCGCAGCCCGGCCCTATCTCCCCACCGTTCACACGTGTCCCGAGTCGCCTCTCCCGGGCCGCGCCAGCCCCCCGGGGAGAGGAGGGAGTCAGGCAGGGCTTCCCATGGTTCGTACCCCGGGGTCAGGCAGGTGCTTCTGCCCCAGCAGCCCGCGCCCCCCGGCAAAACCCAGCGCGGGGCCGCTCCGAATCCGAATCCGTCTGTAAGCGGCTAATCCGGAGCTAATCGCCTAGAGACCGGACTGGGCAGGACAGCGCCCCCTTCCCCCGGGAGCCACTGCGGGCCGGCTGGGAATTATTTACCCGGCACTCGCAGCTAAATGGCCGGGCGGCCGCAACCTGCTCCACCGCCGCTTGGCGCCCTAACCCGGAGCCGGTGTGCTGGGCACTGCCAGGGATTAATCCAGCAGCTCGCTGGCCGCGCCTCGGAAGGCAGGAGAAGCCGGGAAAGCGCAGGGGGAGCTCAGCTCCTAGCAGGGGCAGTTTGGTGCGCGCCTGGGGCAGCGCATTGACCCCTCCCCGAGCCAGAGCGCGGCTCTCTGGGAGCAGGGGGAAGGAACGCGACCAAAGCTGATGATTTCAACTCCCTCCCCCAGCATGTCCGCACTGGAGGTAGCCCCTAGAGGCTGAGTGCGGCCGGTCACTGAAAGGGGGACCAGGTCACACTTGGGTTTCCCACCGAAACACCCCCCTCTCCCCACCTGTGACTAGCTAGCAGTGGCGCGATCTCTCCCCCTGGGCTCAGCCTTTGGCTGGGGGGGGTGTGTCCGGGTGCGCCAGGAGGTGCATAGTTCTTTCAGCTCCTAAATGCTCCAAGCAGCTCTAGAGGAGTCGTTACAACGCTGTGTCTCCCCTCGCCCCCAAACACTCTTGTGCCATTTTTTCTCACTAGTGTCAAGAAAGCTCGGAGCGCACTTTATTTCACCACGGATAGAGCAGTGAGTAAAAGGGGGAGTGCTAACAAAATACGAGCTGTTAAAGATACCAGCATCACGGACAGCCCATCCCTTACACTTACATACACGCACACACTTTGTGTGTGTTTCTATACAACCGCTGGTTGTGCACACGCATGCAGGGCACACACACAAGCATGCATGCATGCTAAGTAAAGCAAGGAATACATAGCTTTTGCCTATCTGCCGATCAAACGCGGAGATCTGCTCTGGTAAATGATGCATTAGATGCGGTGGCTGTATTTGTTGTGTGAGTTTTGAAAGGGTCCTGATAATCTGGAAGCGAGAGATAAGGAACACCATTTATTCAGCAGCACTTTGGAACCAATTTTCAACCCTGTTCAACCCCATTCTCCAGCAGCCTCCAGGAGCCCAGGAGATAAGGATTGGGCTATTCATTATCTTCACAAGGAACAAAGATTAGCTAGCAGAGATGAAAAATTACCCCTGGATAGTAATAATAAGGAGGAGAACCTCTGGAGTTGCTGAGCCTATATTCTCGTCGCTGCTGCTGCTACTTCTTTTAAATTCTCTCCCTCTCTTTTTTGTTAAATCAATATTGAAAAGGTTGGGGTATTTGTTAAACCTATTCACTGTCTATCATAGTTTTCAATATGCAGAATATGGTTGTTACAGTGGAAGAAAACTGTTTTTTCCTTTACCCTCAGACTTTAAAATGACATCTTTAGTGTGAAATCTAAATCGTGCAGGCATTTAAAAAAACCCATCATTAGCCTATAATCAGCGTTCAGCAAAATACATTTTAAAAACCTGTATTGAGCCACTGTGGAACTTGGGGGTTACTTCTCCATAGCCTGCAATGCAGTTGTCAAATAATAGAAATTTAGCCGAAACTCTGAGTTTTCTACAAAATTAAAACAAAACCACAACACACACACAGAGTCTCTGGGTTAAAGTCCCCGTCTGCATTAAAATGCACGCGTAAGAAGCCCACGGCTGCTATTCGTTTGAATTTCCCAGAACCTTTCAATTTAGGGGATTAAAAAAAAAATCGAATACCTGGATTTGCAATAGCGCCTTGCTTTCTCCTTTCAAATATGAACATTTTTTTAAAAAAATAGCACAACTTTTGTTTTTTACCCAGAATAAATCTCGTTCTGTATCTCATCTCTTAGGACGAAGGGTGATCCAGGCGAGTAATTAAAACAGTTACTTTGGCAATGGGCTGCTTGGGACAGATAAGAATTATCTGTAGCATATCAAGGACCTTCCCCACCCCCAAACCATATCACAAAGACAGACAGAAAATGACAGCAAAATAGGATTTTTAGTTGTTGTCGCTCACATATTTTTTTACCTCCATTATGATAATTCTCTTCCTATGAAACTTTTCTGTTTCCTTCTTGAAACGCATTTCTCCTCTCCCTTCACCCAGATTGTTTTACATTGGTGCGATTATTTACATTGGGAAAGTGGGGTTCTCTTGTTCCCCCCAAAAGGAATTTCAAGCATTTGAAGTGTTGGTATTGTGCCCCATCCTTTTCTAATCGGAAGGCAGTATTTTCTTGCTCTGCCTGCCCTTTGCTTGGAGCGGGGATATATACACGTTTAGACACTCAGCCCTTGCTATGTAATGTATTTTGCTGGCTGCAATATGTAGGGTAGGGGCAGTGAGGGGGGGACCAGATGAAACTCCCTAGAAACCAAAAAGAAAATAAAGAGCAAGTGAAGATTTCCAGCCTTGTGTTGAGTCTAGAGCGCCTTTGCTTGCGAACATTTTCAAACACATTAGTTCTGGCTGACTTGCCTAATGGTCTGGGATACTAGCATTTGAACATTTCTTTCTTTGCTCACAACGACTCGCTGGTTGGGATCTGCGAGTTTATTCCTCCCCCGTCCCCCTCCCCACACACAGAGCTGATATTACGTGCAGGTGCATAGTCCGGCCGATTAAAATTAGGGACAGAAAAATGAAAACCGTGACAAAAGGCCAGCGTGTTACAGTCAAGATTTACTCCCCTCACCAAGGAAGGGAAATAATACACACTCTTCCTCGTTCTTGAAAGCAAGAGAAAATAAAAGACCAAATAAAGAGAGGTTGCGGCTATATAAACCTTAAATCTGAATCCCATATTTCTTAGGAGACTGTAGTGTCTTTGTGTGTCTGTGTGTGTTGTTGGTATAATATCAATTCATTTAAAAATATGAAAGTCAAGTCGCGTAGCCGGTGACAGCGAAGGCAACAAAAGGTGCAAGCAGCAGACAATGCGATGTGCTTGTACAGATATTGTAATGATGCAAATGAAGTTGAGGGGACGAGCTGCCTTATTATGTACATAAATACACACTGGCTCGCTGTGCCATCCGTGAATGCAGGAGAGTGAGAGGAAGAAGGGGAGAGAAGGGAGGGGGGAGCCCAACTCGAAAATTGCTGCCAGTTTTAAACAGCCTACCCCTGGCAACCCCTCTGCCGACCTGCTTATGCATTCACCAGCCAGTTAGCCTCTTTCGTTCCTCTTTATTCAAATACATGAAGGCGAGCGAGGCAGAGGCGAAAGGGTGGCCACTGTGAGCGGCTCCAGATGTGCTTGCGCCGCTGTCCAGGAGCCTGGGAAGAAAGAAAAAGACCCTCAGTCCCCCCAGCAAAGAACCCAGCGGAAGGCAGAAGGAGTTAGAGAAGGACAGTCGCTGCTGGCCAAAGGTAAGGCGATTACAAATACTGAACTCGTGACAAAGTGCCCTGGGAAGCGGGGTGGGGATGAAATAGGGGGCTCGGCTTCCTTCGGGCTGTAGAGGCGAAGCCTTTCCTTGCCGCAGCGGGGGGAAAAGCCCAGTTTAAACAACGAGTTGTGGCTGTGGGGAGGCTGCTGGAACTCTTCCTCACCCGGGCGGCGATGACCTGGAGGGAGTGTAAACAGCGGTGCTCCAGTGGAGACAATGCACTTGGACAGGGGAGAGATTGTCCTTACAGCCTGGCGTACTTAGCAAGGGGACGGGGGGTCCTGTTTCTACACATTCTCCCCTAAACCGCCACCCCTGCACTATTGTCCCTGGGTGGAAATGCAGAATATTTTGGATGCTGTTCCCCAGCCACTCCATAGGGACCCTTCTGTCTAAAGAGTCGCTAATGCCCAGTGACAGAGAACAGCTTTGGAGTGTCAAATAAAGAACGATCGCTCAGTGTTTTAAATAAACCCGTCTTGTCTGTGCAGATGATTTAGGGTATTTCTTGGGGTAGTTTTTCCTCTTCCAGAACAAATCACGGGATTTGTTATTGCTGAAAATGTGCAGATCTGCTCCTACATATCTGATGGGAAAAAATCGTTCGCGTGGCACGGTTGCTTTATAACTCAGCGGGTGTCTTATTTGAACTAGCTGCAAAACAGGTAAAGCCATCCTTCCCAAAATGTAATAAACTGCGGACCACTTGAAGCGATGCTTCAGCGAAAAATCTAGAGACAGAGCGCGGAAGAGTAAACGTTTACGAAATTATCTTGTTCTAATTCCGACTGGAAATAATGTTTTTTAGCGGGTTTGAAAAACATTTTACCCCTCGCGAATGGCATGCTCAGAGATTAAAACAAACCCCGAGATAGAAATTGGGAAAAGGGTGGTAGTTTTCAGTTTATAATGTAAACCTGGTGTCCCCAAAATGATTTCGCAACTCAAGTATAAAAGAAGCGGTCACAGATGCAAACTCCTTGGCTGGTATATTTATATATTCGATGGATCTCGGTCTGAAACTGATTTCTAATGAACAGTCTTTGTTCATTCTTAAACTCGCAGTCACTTTAGAATTCCCAGATACTTTCTCTTCTAATAGACTGGCCCTATTACCGCTAAAGGATGGGAGCGTTTGAAACGCTCAAGTATAAAAGAAGCGGTCACAGATGCAAACTCCTTGGCTGGTATATTTATATATTCGATGGATCTCGGTCTGAAACTGATTTCTAATGAACAGTCTTTGTTCATTCTTAAACTCGCAGTCACTTTAGAATTCCCAGATACTTTCTCTTCTAATAGACTGGCCCTATTACCGCTAAAGGATGGGAGCGTTTGAAACGCCACATCATCCTGCCATACTATTCCTTTCGCAAAGAGGGAAGCACACGGATTATTGCGACGGGCAAATAAACAAATCAAACCAAACCGCCGTGAATTAATAGCAGCGAATCTC